AAAGACTTGATGAAATTAAGCTAAGGATCAAGAATGCAGGACCCCTACTCCTCTCTTAGTGCTTTTCTTAAAACAACAACAACAACTGAGTAATTTTGCATGATTTCAGGGAAAGATCTTCTCCATCCATAACCTGATAACTTTCAGATATAGTGGACAGAAGGTCCCACCATTTTCCAGCTGGTGGCTAATAGCTTCTTGTCTCTGAGAGCAGGAGGCATGCCAGGATAGGGAAAAATGTCTGAATATGTTGAGCAATTTCTCTTGAGGAATCTACTTAATGCAACACTGGCTGGGAAAGGGAGAAGGAGAAGGGGAACGGGTGAAGGGAGGATGGTGAAAGTTGAAGGGGAAGAAAGTGACGGAGGTGGTAGTTCAGTAATATCTGGAGGGCTGCAAGTTTTGCACCCCTGTCTCAACGGTCCTCACTTTCAGCCTTCCATAAACATTTCTCAAAACAGAGAAGTCCAAATTTGCAGTTTCAAAAACACGAAAAGTCATGTGTTACGCATTCTCCCTCCTCTTCTTGAAGTTTTTCATACAGAAAAACTATATATGTGGCTTATATGGTGCCTTTCGTTCAGGAGCTCAAGGTGGCACATGTAGCTTTCCCTCCTCCTGTGTTCTCCCACAACACTCCTAACTGGCAAGCGGAGCCAAGAGACAATCCCTAGCCTAAAATTTCCCAGTTAAGCTAATGGGGCTGAAGGTAGAGTTCCTAACACAACACCCTAACCACTGGCTCACACAGACTCCAGAAAATCCAAGGGTTTTTATAGAGATGAAGCCCCACATGGATTGACTTTTAGGGCTGCCCCCATGAGGCAATCGATCTCTATTACTAGATTGATGTCACCATCAGCGCCCTCTTTCTTTGCTCTGAAGCAACCAATCAGAAATAAATTCCGGTTCCCATGTATCCCATTTAAATTATTATAATCAGCCTGCAGTCTTTCTGAAGTCTAGGAGTGTCCCTTATCTCATTGGCTGGGCTCTGGTCCTGAAACCTAGAAAACTGAGATGTTGAGTCCCAAGTTCTCATCTAGGAGCCAGGAATGAGGTAGATCAAGATCAAGACTCCGAAGATCAAGTCAACCAAGGTAGGAGGGAATACATATTATATGCAGGAGAATGAGGCCAACTTCGCCCAGGAAAGTAGGTTCCCCCAGCCAACTTCTCTGTCCATGGAAGGTCATGGTCCAAAAGTTGCATTCTTCTGCTCCAGGCTTTACAATGTATTTAATTGAGAGAACTTCTTGGAGTTGTAAGCTGATAAAAAATACTGATGAGTGTCCTGTAAAAGTGATTGAAGTGGAACCAGCATCAGGGCTAGAATCACTGGGCATATGCCCAGGTCATATTTCTCTAAGCATGCCAGGTTCTAATCTTCAAAACCTCTTAATCTTAATTTCAGATCCTTGTTTCTCCTATTTGTTCATTCTCAGTCTGCAGTTTGTTGTGGACTAAGCCTGGAAGAAAAGGGCAGTCGAGAAAGTTAGAAGGACATGGACAAGGAAAAAATATGTAATTTTGTCAAAAGGTTATGAGAGTTACTATTCGATTCAACCAGGAGAATCAAGGCTGGCTATACTAAATGCAGAGCTAATGGAACCAACCATAATTGACAAGCAAGCCATCATTGTCCTTGTCATAATCTATTATGGTTCCAATGTTCCTTTTTCATTAGGATGTTATTTTTTTTAATGAAAGGTGACCTAACAATGAGTTGGAATTTACCAATTATTCAAGTAAAATCAGTTTACTCTTCCTTCACTATTTCAAAGAACCGTTCCTATTGGGAAGTCATTGGTAGATATTTTAATGAACTGCATCAGTTCTTCACTAATCAGTTGTAAAAAAAAAAAAAAAAGCAAAGAGGCACTCAAATAGCATCAATTGAGAAGGGGCACTGAAGAATTCATAACTGATTGTAAAATCCATGGCCTTTTGTTCTCTCTTCTATGTTGGTCAAAACTCTGCAGGATCCTACTTAAGTCATCATCTATTTCTCTCACATAGGTGCTATGCTGGGAGCATTTTAAAACATTTTTAATGTAAAAAACTGGTGTTTTTTTTTAACACAGTAAAGGATTTATGCAAATTCACGTACCTTTAAGAGAATCCTAGTAGCCTTTCAAATATTCATTGAGGGGCTGTACAATAGATCTTTTTGTAAAGATATTAGATAAAATGTACTCTCGTTGTACAAGTTCAAAGGTTCCTTCCTTCCTACCACAAAATTGGAGAGATCAGAAGCTGCACTTAGTCAAGGAAAGTAGGGGACGGCTGGGTGATTGTTTCCTTTACACCCACTTTTTTAAAAATTTTTTGCATGAATTTAGCTAACAATCTTTGGGCAGGATTAATGCCACTGTAATGAAAAGAGCGAAATCACTCCTATTTATTGTATGGAAATGAATATCAATTGGGCTGATGGTTTTTTTCCCCCCGACTTACCAACTGTAAATTATCAACCTACTATTTATGCAGAAAAATGCACAACAAATATTTACATGCGTTGCTGTGCCCACATTTCAAATATAAGAGTTTTTGTATTCTATTTTCATAGTGTGCCATTTGAGACAAGGAACTGTGTTTTTTTTGCCCCCGCAGGAAAAAAAAAAAAAAGCTTATATCTTTGGGTCTGTAATTTTTGAAAACTTGCAGCCTTTTGCTTAACAATGACTAGGATGGGGTCCTTGCAAGGTCATGCAACAATACCATAAGTTAATCCAGGTGCCTTAATAAGGAGACTATTGTTTTTGCTGAAATAAATTAACTTAGCAAAAAAAAAAAAAAATGGGCACGTGCAGATCTAGCAAATGCATCCAGTTTTGGTCCCCACAATATTGAGACTCTAGAAAGAGAGCAGAGAAGAACAACAAAGATTATTAGGGGAGAGAAGAGAGAAGAGAAGAACTTTATTGTCATTGTACAAGTACAACGAAACTGTGGATGCATCCCAGCAACTGTTCGCAATACAATAAAACCAAAGCACTTAAAAATGGAGATAAGAAAAATAGAGTACCCACGTCTCCATTTGCAATTAGAGAGTACAATATCTACGAATATACACAAAATATACTTGACTTGAGGCTAAAGCATATGAAGAGCAGTTGAAGGAATTGGGTATATCTAGTTTAATGGAAAGAAGGGCTGGGGTGACAGGATAGCACTGTTCCAATATTTGAGGGGCTGCCAGAAAGAAGAGGGAGTCAAGCTGTTCTTCAGAGCACCTGAAGGCAGGACAAGAAGCAATGGGGGGAAACTAATCAAGGACAGAAGCAACCTAGAACTAGGGAGAAGTTTCCTTGACAGTGAGAACAATTAATCAGTAAAACGACTTGCCTCAGAAGTTGTGGGTGCTTCATCACTGTAAGTTTTTAAGAAGAGATTGGACAGCCACTTGTCTGGAATGGTATATGGTTTCCTGCTTGAGCAGGGGGTTGGACTAGATGACCTCCAAGATCCCTTTCCAACTCTGTCACTCTGTTCAATGTGAACCAGAAGTGTGCTTTTGCAACTCACCTCCCGAAATGTTTAAAAAACAATGTCATTCTGGTGCATTTATATTCTGCATATATTTTGGCAGGTTTGAAATTGGTATGTTGTTCTAAAATTTCCCGATAAACCAGATTTCTTATCCAGCGCTAACCTGTATTGCACCCAAAGATGGATTCTGTTTATATCTTTCAGGTTCTTATTTCCAACGGATATGACTTTAGTCTATAATCTTAAGCACGGAGGGATTTCATTTATCAAATGAAACAGCTAGTGGAAAGCAATCTTAAGTACATTTATTCAAAAGAAATCCCACTACGTTGTGTGAAAGCTGGATTTTTTTTTTTTAGCCCTGTCGTTTGCTAGAAACTGGTCATTTCTTCCTCGTTTAAAACAATCAGAGGGAAAGACAACCATGCTTTTTTTCCCATCAGAGATTTCTAATGCACTTTATTCTTGTTTTACTTTCCAGATTGCAAGATGTCCCGAATGTGGCTTCTAGAAACATTGGTTGTCATGTTCTGTAAGTACAGTCTTCCAGGATTTTAAATATTTTTGAGCAATAGCAATAGTAACAGCATTTAGACTTGTATACCGCTTCACAGTGCTTTACAACCCTCTCTAAGCGGTTTACAGAGTCAGCCTATTGCGCCCAACAATCTTGGTCCTCATTTTACTGACCTTGGAAGGATGGAAGGCTGAGTCAGCCTGGAGCTGGTGAGAATCAAACTGCCAAATTGCAGGCAGCCGGCAGTCAGCAGAAGTCTAACCACTGTGCTACCACAGCTTATAAGTAATAAGTATATAAGTGAGCTAGTTCCTCAAAACCATAGATGATTTACATCTACAGAGATTCTCAGTCTTCCAGGTCATGGTTGTCCCAAAGGGGCTTTTTCAAGAGGGAACTGGACTTTTCTTGCTTTTCTTTGAAGACGTTTCACTTCTTATCCAAGAAGCTTCTTCAGCTCTGAAGAAGCTTCTTGAATGAGAAGCGAAACATCTTCAAAGAAAAACCAGAAAGTCCAGTTGCCCCTTGAAAAACAAAGGGCTTTTGGGGCACGGGCTTTTGGGGCACGGAGGATTTATTTCAGTTTATCCAAATTTAATGACCACTTGTTCAGCCATCGTTCAAACTTGCGACGGGGGTGTACAAGTGATACTTCCAACCTGTTTTTAGAGTTCGAGCTGTCACAACATTCCCGTGATCATGTAGTCATCCTTTGCTGGAAATCCATGTTAAGTCAGCAGGATGTCACAAAAAGGTAACCACGTAACATGCTCACTTAATGACAGCAGTGGGATTTGTGTGATGGCAGCAACCGAGAGTGTCAGAATTGTGGTTTGTAAGCAGTGTGGTTATCTAAGATCATGATTTTTGACCATGCCTCTTAACGATAGAAATTCCAGCTCCAATTGTTGTTATTATCTAAGGAATACCTGTAGGAATTCATGGAAGGCAGGCAAAATGTATGGCTCGTACATCTTGCTAACAATGGACCATGGGTAAGCACACCATAATGTATTATGGGCCACATGCAAATATTCCAGTATGAAAAATATTGAAAATTAAACAGAAAGAGGATGTAGAATATTATCAAACATGGAATTTATTTTACCAGTGGTTGGAAAAAAGGGGTGGAGATTAAGAATGTAAATTTGTATTGTTAAGCAAATTAAATACCCAGACAACATGATTTTTATTAAGCATTAAGAAATGTATTTAATAAAATCAATCAAATAAAAAAACAAATATAAATAACAGATAACAGATAATCAGAGTTGGAAGGGACTTTGTAGGTCATCTAGTCAACCCCCCGCCCAAGCGGGAGACCCTACACCATTTCTGACAGATGGCAGTCCAATCTCTTCTTGAAGGTCTCAAGTGATGGCGCTCCCACAACTTCTGAGGGCAACTTCTGTTCCACTGGTTGGTTGTTGACAATGAATTTTACTGTCAAATATTTCAGTATTGGGTACAGCTACTCCTCAACTCACAACCATTCATTTAATGACCGTTCAAAGTTACAACGGCCCTGAAAAAAGTGACTTATGACCGTTTTTCACCCTTACAACCATTGCAGCATCCCCCATGGTCACATGATCGAAATTCAGACACTTGGCAACTTGTATGTACTTGTGACAGTCGCAGTGTCTCGGGGTCATGTGATCACCTGTCGACAAGCAGAGATGTTTCTGTAGGATGTTTTTGTAACTGGATGTTTCCACATAGTGAGACCATCCAGGAGTAACCAGACCTTGCACATGAAGTCAGCAAACAAAAATTGCAATGTGAGATTTTAACAGCCAACTTTAGCAATGCTGCTTCAGGCCTTCCACGTTTGGTAAATTGTGGCCTTCCACACCTTGCTAACAGGATTCCTAGGCTACCCTTTCTAGCATCTTAGGCTGATATAGCCAAGGATGAGAGATGCCACACATTATAAATCCACAAATCCTGCAAGGTCACAGGTTTCTAATCATAGTCTCTGTTGCAGCAAGAGCTAGGTAACAGCCAAACAGTTCTTCTGTCTGTCTTTCCAGTGGTGGGATTCAAATAATTTAACAACTGGTTCCCTACCCTAATGAGTTCTTCCAACAACCAGTTCGCCAAACTGCTCAGAAAGTTAACAACAGGTTCTTCCAAAGTGGTGCGAACTGGTTGAATCCCACCGTTGCTGCTTCCCACCAACAGCAGTAGCATGAGGGTAGCCTTCAGACCACTGGAGCAGGGTTTTCCAACCTTGACCATTTCCACGTAGATGGACTTCAGCTCCCAAAATTCCACAGCCAGCATAGCCATTTCTGAGAATTCTGGGAGTTTAAGTCCACTCACCTTCCATTGGCCGAGGTTGGGAAACCCTGCTGCATGGTAAGAGGGAGAAGGAGAGAAAATGAAGATTTTTAAAGCCTTATAATATTAAGGCACACAGCAACCAGAGGCTTACTTTTACCGAGTCCCTGTAAATAGCATGAAAGCACCAAATATTTGTTCCTTAATGTATTCCAGCAATTCAGTAAATCAAAAATTGCAGCTCTATCCAGTATGCAAATACGTTTTGTCCCGGTGATGAATATCGCTTTTTTTTCTCTCTCCTTATAACATTTGCCTGCTCTGCCACCTGGTAGAGCAAATTCTTTTCTTCCCCAGCTCTATATAATGGAGGGCCGTCTAAGGGGAATGAAATAAAATGTTAATTCAGAATTATTTAATTCAGAATCATTTTAATTTGCTTTTCAGTCTGAATTAGATATAAATAGGGTTCACTCTCCTTCCCGCCACCCTTTTTACATTACACAAATTACATCCGTACTGATTTCTGTGGAGGGCATTAGCATTTTAATCAGCCGTGCCATACTGTATCTGGCAGCCCAACTTACAACTCAAGGTGTATTGATCTTTTTTTAAAAAAAATTACATTCTCCATGAACATAAACGATTAATGTGGGGGCGGAAATTGCACTTTTTTCTAGCAACCCAATAGCATCTGCTTGATGCTTTGAAACTTCCAGAGTATTTCTATCCTTTATTTTTTTTCCCCATATATCATCTGTAATTTGTTTCTTTTCTAGCACTGCTGCCTCCAATAAGCTCTCATCCAGATCCATGCCATGAAGTCAATTGTGGGAAAGGATATGTTTGCCAAGATGTTCACAACCAGGCGGAGTGTTTCCCAGAACCGCAGTCCTGCAATTCTGTCCAATGCCAAGAAGGGATGCTCTGCGCGATAGTTGATGGCTTGCCCAGATGTGTCCCTTACCCATCCTCTTGTCATCAGGTCCAGTGTAAAGAAGGGACAATTTGTAGCCTGACAGATGGCTTCCCCAAATGCATGCCTGTGCCGCAATCCTGTGCTGCCGTTCAGTGCAAGGAAGGCACCATCTGTGCTATTATTAACAGTTGGCCTCAGTGCATTTCAAGGCCCAAGTCTTGCCAAGACATGCCGTGCAACCCAGGAATGGTGTGTGAACTCATGAATGGCTGGCCGCACTGTGTGCCTCACACGCCTTCCTGTCGCAGCGTCCACTGCAAAGAAGGGACCGAATGTCAGGTCGTTCATGGCCAGCCCCAGTGCGTTCCAGCATCTGCCTCCTGCAGCGAGATCCTGTGTGAGAGAGGAACCATGTGCGAGATGGTTGATGGCCAAGCCAGGTGTGTCCGATTGCCACCCTCCTGCCTCCATATTGAATGCAAGCAAGGGACCATGTGTGATATGGTGGACGGGTGGCCAAAATGCCTCCCAAGTCCAACTTGCAAAAATTTAAATTGCGAAGCTGGTTCCGAATGCAAGATGATGAATCACTTGCCCAGATGCTTGCCTATCCCACGCTCCTGTGGCCAAATTCACTGCAGGCCTGGGTCCATATGTGAGCTGGCAGATGGTCAGCCCTTATGTGCGCCCATCCTACCCTCTTGCAGCAAGATCCATTGTGAAGAAGGAACGCTCTGTGAGATCCTGGATGGTGTCCCCAGATGTGTGCCTGCCATCACTTCCTGTAACAACATCCAGTGCCCGATGGGAACCATCTGTGAAGTGGTCAACAATTGGCCCACGTGTAGACCTCGCCCACCCTCCTGTGAGAGCATTGTGTGCAAGAATGGAACAGCCTGTGACATCGTCAATGGCTGGCCGACTTGTGTTCCGGTTGTGCCAACAACTTGTGCATCCATTGTTTGCAGAGAGCAAGCTGTGTGTGAAATGGTGAATGGTGTACCAACCTGCACACCCATCCCACTCTCTTGTGATAGATATAAGTGCAGAGAGGGAACAATTTGTGAAGTTGTCCACGGATGGCCCACATGCATACCTTTGGCATCCTCATGTCAGAAAATAGATTGTGCCCAGGGCTCTGTTTGTAACATAATTGATGGCTGGCCTAAATGTGTCCCAGCCCCACCTACTTGTGACCAGCTTCAATGTAAAAGAGGAACCATCTGCGAAAAAGTAAATGGCCAGCCTGCGTGTGTTCCACTCCCTCACTCTTGTGAGCGCATCTATTGCCAACAAGGGACCATTTGTGAAATCAAGGAAGGATGGCCCAGGTGTGTTCCAATCCCCGCATCTTGTGACAAAATCCACTGCAGGCCAGGGACCACCTGCAAAACAATCGATCACTGGCCTCAGTGTGTTCCCATCCCACCTACCTGTGACAAACTGCGCTGCAAAGATGGCAGCGTTTGTGAAATTATTGATGGTTGGCCCATGTGCACGCCTACTCCTGCTTCCTGTGATAAAATCGAATGCAAGGAAGGAACTGTTTGTGAAATGGTTGATGACTGGCCCAGATGTAGCCGAATGTTGAACTCTTGTGAAAAAGTCCACTGCCAGGAAGGGACCAAATGTGAAATACACGATGGGCTTCCAAAATGCATTTCCATATCCCTTTCCTGCAACAATTACCATTGTAAAGAAGGGTTTCTTTGTCAGATCGATGAGGGTTGGCCAAAGTGCTTTCCTGACCGTTCTCCTTGTGAAAAACTCAACTGCAGTGCAGGAATGGCATGTGAAACACTTCAAGGGCAGCCCAGATGTGTCCCCATCACCACCTCCTGTACTAATGTCATCTGCAAGGAAGGAACCATCTGTGAAATCCACCATAGTTGGGCCAGATGTGTTCCCGTCTCAACCTCTTGCGCGAACTTCAAATGCAGTGAAGGGACTGTGTGTGAGATATATGATGGGCGTCCGAAATGTCTCCCCATCTCACCTTCTTGTAATCATTTTCAGTGCAGCTCTGGAACTGTTTGTGTAATCAGCCATGGTTGGCCCAAATGTGTCCCTATCGCACTCTCTTGTGAGAACTTCAGATGCAGTGAAGGAACTGTGTGCGAGATAAATGAAGGGCAGCCAAAATGCCTTCCTAGATCTCCCTCATGTCACCAATTCCATTGTAAGAGTGGAACAGTTTGTCAAATAAACAATGGCTGGCCACAGTGTGTTCCGATTCCCCCTTCTTGTGGAAATGCCAGTTGCAGCGTTGGGACCACATGCCAAATGGTTTCTGGCTTGCCCCAGTGTGTTCCTACATCACTGTCATGTGATCAATTCACCTGCCAAGATGGAAGTGTTTGTAAAATGGTTGATAACTGGCCAAGATGCCTTCCTATCCTGTCCTCATGTGATAGGTCAAACTGCCGGGAAGGTACCGTTTGTGAGATTGTTAACGGATTGCCAATTTGTGCCCCAATTCCATCTTCCTGTGAGAAAACCATCTGTAAGGAAGGGATGATATGCCAGATGGTGAACGGTTGGCCAACCTGTATTCCAGCATCCTCAATGTTGTGCGCTTCTACGCATTGTCACGTGGGAACTGTGTGTCAACTTGTTGGTGGAAGCCCACAATGTGTGCCTAGCACACCTTCCTGTAGCCAGTTTCAGTGTCCTGCTGGGACTATCTGTGACATGGCCAGTGGATGGCCTAAATGCGTTCCTATGCCAACATCCTGTGAAAATGCCCATTGTCAAAGTGGGACTATTTGTCAAGTTATAAATGGTTGGCCCCAGTGTGTGGCTTCTACCCATTCATGCCAGACAATTCAATGCTGGGAAGGGACCGTTTGTAGAATGGTGGATGGTTCACCTAGATGTTTTCCTTCTGTATCTCCCCAAGTGATGTGTTGGGCCTCTGGTCAGCCCCATTATCACACATTTGATGGACGCAGCTTTGATTTCCAAGGAACTTGCACTTATACAGTGGCTAAGATTTGCAGCACCAGCTCCAACCTGCCATTCTTCCACCTCTTTACCAAGAGTCAGAAGAGTTTCCCTTTCTCTTTCATCAATCAAGTCACCCTCACCATCTACAACTCCAGCATCACTATGGTCAAGCACGAGTATGGCCTTGTCAGAGTAAGAACACTCTTTGTACCGTTTCATTATTTATTTTTTACATATTTACATTTTACATTTCTTAACTGCCCATCTCCCTCAGTTAACATTGAGACAGTGCTGGTGGCTTAACTTCAGCTGCCCCCAATGAAAAAAATTTCTGCTCGTGAGAGACAAATGAAAGCAGGTAAAACACATTTCTTTTGGTGGGTCAGTGTTGAAAGTTGATAATCTAATAGTTATAGAACGTTTGAAACCTTCCTTTATGCCAGAACAGACAATAGGACATTACTCTAACCCAGGGGTCTCAAACTCAATTTCATTGAGGGCTGCATCAGGGCTGTGGTTGACCTTAGGAGGGCTGCCGGGGGGGGCACGGGCAGGGGATGTGGCCAACTCGATGTCATTCTTGTTGGGGGCGCCTGTGGTGGCCCAAGTGCTCTTCCAGGCTCTCAAGCTCCATTTTCAGCTACAACTGCCTCTTGCAACCCTCTGCCAGTTATCCGGCCTCCGGGCCTTGAGTTTGACACCACTGCTCTAAGCCATTAAAAAGTGCATGGCTTAGAACAAGGATGTCCAATCTAAAGTTGTCCTTGAGAAATTCCTCCACCGGCCATTCTGGAAATTGAAGTCCACAGGTCTTAAAGTTGCCAAGGTTGGAGACGCCTGGCTTAGAACCAAGTAGTTGTGGGCTGGATGTATGGTTTTCTGTTTTAGTGTCTAGGCAATTGTGTCACCTTATATCGTCTTCCTGTCCTATATGTAAGGTCCCTTGCTGAACATATTTGGCCACCTTGTAACACAGAATGAATGGTAGATTATATGGCTCTTTAGCTATTCTTAATGTTCTTAAATTATAGCTAACACAAATGGGAAAACATTCACATACTGGCTCAGCAGGGTAGGTTTTGACCAGTTCTAGCCCTCCAGGATCTCACCCATCAATTAGTAACTTGACCTCCCTTTTAACCTAAAGATATTAAATATTGGGAAAATGTTCTGCATCCATAGCACAGCAGACTTTACTACCAGTGTAAGTAATCTGCTTTCATACGACTGGAAGGAATGTGATCACAAATAAATCTACCTTATTAATTAAAAATTGGGTCAGCATATTACTGAAGATGTACTTCCAGGATACCTATAGGCATTGGTTCTCTATGGGAATAAGAAGTTAGACAAGAAGGAACATTTTGAGGTTTAACTCTCAAAGTGTCCATCTGCTCTTCCATTTTAACATTTCTATTGAGGCTCTGTTATCTTTTTTTTTTTTTAAATACTTCTGAAAATGAAATTACAGTTCACGAGCTGCTTTGGTGTTTTGTTGCAACCCCATTCATCTGTCAAATATGTAATCTCAAAAACAAACAATGATCACCGGCCTCTGTCTCTTCTAGATCAACCAGGTGCGCTCTCGTCTGCCGGTAGGTCTACACAATGGGATGGTCTCCTTATACCATCGAGGAAACCAACTGGTGATCGAAACCCAGTTTGGCCTGAAGGTTTACTACGACTGGAACTATTACCTAGTGGTGAAGGTCACTGCAGCTTTTCAAAGTCAAATTTGTGGCCTTTGTGGCAACTACAATGGAGATCCCAATGACGACTTTACTACCCCTTCGGGAAGCTTGGCCACCAACGCTGTGGAATTGGGCAAGAGCTGGAAAGTAGAAGATGGAGATGAAGCTTGCAGGCACGGCTGCCATGACAGGTGCCTGCAGTGTTCTGCCGAGTTAGCAGCCAGATACAATACAGAAAGTTCGTGTGGCATGATCATTCAACACAGGAGCGGTCCTTTCCATCGCTGCCACTCCTTGATTGATCCCAAGCCATATTTGAATGACTGCGTAATTGATTTGTGTGCCTTTGAGGGTTACAAGCAGATTTTGTGTCGGGCCCTGAAGACATATGCTGATACTTGTCAGAGAGAAGGAATAGCAATATCTGCCTGGAGGAAACACGTCGGCTGCCGTGAGTAGAACCTGGGATTTATGGAGATGGGGCTCCCACTAGTTTACAGTGACAGGAAGCATTCATGGGAGGGGACTGTCATTCCAGATTGCAATGGGTGTGATAAATCAGTGTTGCATATATGTATAGCCAGACAGATGTTGCAGGTAAATGGAATAGAGATTGACTGCAACATTACACTTAAAAGGAAATGGTTCTCAGAAGGGATTAGTTGATGAGCTGCTGAAAAATAATCAGAAAATAAGAAGACTGATTATATTAAGATGGATGGAGAAGAGTGACGATGAAAAGAGAACCAGGCAATCTATATAAGACTGGGTGACTTGGGATCTGCACCCGAAGGCCAGCAAAAAGCCATTTCATTGGTGGCTTAGCAAGTGTTCGTAAACAGATAGAGGCATGGTATGGTACTCCACAATGGCCTTACCTGCAAAATAGCCACTGTATTCTGCACCAAATGTAAGTTCTGAATGTTCTAGTGTAGCCCCATGTAGAGGACAGAACTCATACAAGGTGAGTGAGTGAGAAAAAGAAATTTTGGTTCAGAAAGGATGGATTTGGGGCAACAGATAACTCTGTGTAAAAGCTTTGGTGGTCACAGCTGCCACTTGCTCTTAGAACAGGGGCTGGGAGCCCAGGAGGACCCCAAGTTGCATAGCAGTTCCATTTGAGGAAGCGCCACACCATTCAAAACCAAATATGGAGAATCTCCAGTAGTGGAAGGACCATGCACTTAATTCAGTGTGGTCAGGCTTCAGTTTAAAGCAGGAATGTCCAAACTTGGCAACTTTAAGACCTTGGGACTTCAATTCCCAGAATTCCCCAGCCAGTATGGCTAGTTGGGGAATTCTGGGAGTTGAAATGCACAGAGCTTAAGTTTGCCAAGGTTGGGCACTCCTGCTTTAGAACCTGTTCCTCCCCACCTAGACACTAACAGCTCCAGACGTTAGATCAACACTTCAATATAATTACTTAGTCAAGTGAGGGCCTAAATATACAGCGAAGTATCACTAGCATACTGATAATATTTGACCTCATGTTGATGGATGACCTTAACTTAGACATTAAACAAGAGGGTATTATATATTATATTAAACCAGGGGGATTAGGGGTCTGGAGACTAAAACACATGAAGAACAGGTACAGGAACTGGGCATGGCTAGTCTAGTGAAGAGAAGGACCAGGGGAGACAGGAGAGCAGCCTTCCAATATTTGAGGGGCTGCTACAGAGAGGAGGTGGGTCAAGCTATTTTCCAAAGCACCCGAAGGCCAGACAAGGAATAATGGATGGAAACTGAACAAGGAGAGATTCAACCTGGAAATAAGGAGAAATTTTCTGACAGTGAGATCAATCAACCCATGGAACAGTTTGCCTTTGGGAGTTGTGGGAGCTTCATGGCTTGAGACTTTCAAGAAAAGACTGGACTGCCATTTGCGAGAAATGTGGCATGGGTCTCCTTCTTGATGACCCTTCCATCTCTGTTAATCTGTTAACAGAGGGTGGAGCATCAATTTCCTGAGGCACTCCACAAACTAGGAATCTTCTCTGTTTCGTTGCCTTTTATTATGCAACAAAGATGAGAACATTGAGCGCTAACCCTTTTTGTTCTTCCTTCTACTACAGCCTTGATCTGCCCTGACCACAGCCAACACATGGCCTGTGGCACAGCCTGTCCTGCCACTTGCAACAACCCTGATGCGCCAAAGAAATGCCACCTGCCCTGCATGGAAACCTGCCAGTGCAAGCCGGGCTACGTGCTTGATGGTGGTAAATGCATTCCCAAAGAGCAATGTGGCTGCATCTATCACGGTCAGATCTATGCTCCCAATGAGCAGTTCTGGGGCGATCGGCAGTGCCACCTGCAGTGCGTATGCAACCCACGAGACAGGAAAGTGGCCTGCCACAGATCCACTTGCAGGGAAGGAGAGGGGTGCCATGTGATTAATGGCGTAAGAAAGTGCCATCCAACTGTCTATGGGACCTGCACTACCCTGGGCCAGCTGCATTATATCACGTTCGATGGACTGCACTTTGACTTCTTTGGAACTTGCGTTTATCGGTTGGCTGAGCTCTGCTACAAGATAGCAAACCTCACTCAGTTCCAAGTCCTGGTTCAGCACCAAGGACAGGGGTCTGAGAGCTCAGCGGCCGCCAAAGTACTTGAAGTCCATGTTTACGGCATGGCAATCCTTATCAGCCATAGCAGAGTCTTGGTGAGTACAGTACAGGTAGTCCTCAACCACAATTGAGCAAGTTGGTGGTTAAGTGAGTTTTGCCCCATGTTATGACCTTTCTAGGGACACGGTGGCTCAGTGGCTAAGACGCTGAGCTTGTCGATCAGAAAGGTCAGCAATTCAGCGGTTTGAATCCCTAGCGCTGCGTAACGGAGGGAGCTCCCAGCTTCTGCCAACCTAGCAGTTAGAAAGCATGTAAAAATGCAGAAAAATAGGGACCCCTTTGGTGGGAAGGTAACAGCATTCTGTGTGCCTTTAGTCATGACCACAGAGATGTCTTTGGACAGCACTGGTTCTTCGGCTTTGTAATGGAGATGAGCACCGCCCGCTAGAGCCAGAAATGACTAGCACGCATGTGCGAGGGGAACCTTTACCTTTATCTTTATGACCTTTCTTGCCACAGGTGTTAAGTTGTGCAGTTAAGTTAGTAACCCAGGTGTTATGTGAATCTGGCTTCCCTGTTGACTTTGCTTGACAGAGGGTTGATCACATGACCACCAGGATGATTCAACGGTCATAAGTGTGAAACACAGTCATAAGTCATTTTTTTCAGTGCCGTTGTAACTTCAAGAAGGCAAATTGTTGTAAGTCAAGGACTACCTAATATCTTCTACCTTTCTCTATTTATACTTGTGAGATTCTTTCAAGTGATATCTCATTTTTATTTCTGGAGGGTTTATTATCCTCTCAGAAGAGAATGAGCAATCAAAATAGGATGATTGGGAAATTGTTAATTATTGATCGGAAATTATAAACCTCACCTATTTGCATATTACTCTTTCAGGCAAATGACCTGTGATTCCCCAGGTGTTACTTAACTACCCTCTCCAACATGCCTCATTTTTGGCTGTGATTCCCAGGGATTTGAGGACGTATAGCTAATCCGCAGCTGCAATGCCATAGGTGTCCTATTCCTCTTCTAAGGAAAATCTACCATCCACATTTGAGCACCAGTAGAGATAACAAATGCCTGCCCCCACTGCTCAAATTAAAGAAGAAAATTGAGGGAGCCCCTGCCTCCAATTAAGGAACTCTTTCCCCAGAAAAGAACAGCTGGCCCCCGTGCAATCTTGTTTTAAACAATAATTGAAGACATGCTTGTTCACTCAGGCATATTTAAGATAATTGGCTCATGCAAGAAGGTTTTGATTTATTTCAATGAGGCACTTAATGCTGTAAAAGCAACTTGAGTGGCCTTATCAGGGTGAAGAGGCAACATGATTTAACTCAATGAGCTGCTTTTCATCCCATTGCATTCCCCCTCTTAGCCTCCTCTAGCTCTTGCAAAATCCAGCAGAGAGGTGTGCAAAGGTACTCGGTGTGCCTAGAAGCCTTTTTTTTTGGCTATGCAACTGTGTGGCTGTTCCCGAGGCAGGGAAGGTGCTAAAAAAAGGCAGGCAGCTCTTGCAAAACCACTCAACCCTGTTGACTTACGGAGCAGTTCCAAGGGCTTATTTTTGCTCCATCATCAAAGTGGAACCCCCCCTTTTGAAGTTCTGTGTGGTTCTTGAGCAAGGGTGGGCAATTATGGCCCCTTTATGACCAATGGACTCCAACTCCCACAATTCCATGGTTGGCCCAGGAATTCTGGGATTTGTAGTTGCCCACTCCTCTGCCTTAGAGAATAATTGTAACTCCGAGACTCTTTCCTTTTTAAAGAGTCACATTTGTTGTACTTAAATTGTTAACTTTAAGGCATTCCATTTTGCTGTCATTTGCCTTTCCCCATGGGGCTCTAGGAAAGCACTACAGCAACAGAGGCAACTTTCTGTCATACTTGTTCACGGAGCCAGAAATAAGCTTTTTAGCAGAGTTGCGACGGCCAAATTCTAGCAATCCACATTTTGTGTCAAGGTGCAAGAGATGAGGCTGTACCAGTTTGCCCCAGTTGAGAGACAGATTAATTTCAATAAGCAGAGAATAGCTCAAGGTTGAACTGTTGGGTTCTTAAAGGCAGGGGTGGGCTTCAAAAATTTTAGCAACCGGTTCTCTGCCCGGTTGCTGGGTGGGCATGCCCATGGTGGGTGTGGCTTAGTCAGCCTCCTGCACCATGGTGGGGAGACGTTTTCCTTGAGCCTCCAGGAGAGCGAAAACTGCCTCCCCCGGGCTCTGGAGGCCCTCTGGAGGCCAGAAACGGGCCTGTTTCCAGCCTTTCGGAGTTTCCAGGTGGCCTGTTTGTTGCCCTCCCCGGGCCTCTGCATGTGCCCTGCAGTTACCCGGGATCCAAAATGGGCTGCGTTGAGACTCCTGGAAAGGGAGGGGAGAGTGGGTGGGGCCAGCCAGGGGTGGGATTTGCCAGTTTGCTGAAATGGCCATAAAATTAGCTATCAGTTGGCTAAGGGTTTGCATAAAATTAGCTATCAGTTGGCTAAGGGTTTGCATAAAAGTAGCTTTCAGTTGGCTAAGGGTTTGCGTAAAATTAGCTATCAATTGGCTAAGGGTTTGCGTAAAATTAGCTATCAGTTGGCTAAGGGTTTGCTTACAATTAGCTATCAGTTGGCTAAGGGTGGGCTGCTACCTGTGAACTGGTAGCAGCCCACTCCTGCTTAAAGGCTTGAGAGTTGAATTTCTGTTTTGCTGACAAAGAAAAAAGGGAGACTAATATAGATCTATTTCAAGCTATTTAGCTCTCATCAGCTAGCCATACCCTTCTGGGATTCGGACCCAAGCTACTTGCATCTTAGGTAGATGCATTAACCTCTAACGGAAGCAGTATGCTCCATCCCATAATTGGGTAGACCAGGTTGCCCTGACAAAAAAACACTTAAAAAGGCTTGAGAGTTTGTTTCTCTTGCTGCAGATGTTTCATTGCCAAGTTAGGTAGCATCTTTGGTGCATGGCAGAATGACACTTGCTGGCTGCTTATATATATATATAACAGTTGTAGTTTCTCCTTCTAGCCTGGTTTCCTTCATCTATTTTTCTTTTCTGCTTTCTTGATTGTTCCTGTTTATCTGGTGCTAATCCTGTTCTCTGAGTCCTGGTTAATGGATCAAGGAATTCACCCTGGCAGATATAAGATATGTAGCTTCAAAGTAAAACTGACCCCAAAGTTATTTTAGCTAGAAACCTGAATTTTTAATACTCAAGCCTTCTGCACTCCACAGCCAAGCAGAGATGGCGCTAAGAAGCTTTGAGTTGGCTAGAATTTGATTACACAGAGCTTTTAAGTTTCTCCTGCCAGTGGTCATTCTTTTACCTTCTGGTTCTCCAGCTTTTTCAACCTGTATTTTCAATGCTGGGTAGTCTTGTCTCCTGATCAGAATATAAGTGCAAGTTCTGGGGCTTGATTCTGGTATATATCTACAAAAGTGGATAGCAGTAAAGAATATTTGTTGTGGGGACGCAGTGGCTCAGTGGCTAAGACGCTAAGCTTGTCAATCAGAAAGGTTGGCAGTTTGGTGGTTCGAATCCCTAGCGCTGTGTAACCGAGTGAGCTCCCATTACTTGTCCCAGCTTCTGCCAACCTAGCAGTTCGAAAGCATGTAAAAAATGCAAGGAAAAAAATAGGGACCCCTTTGGTGGGAAGGTAACAGCGTTCCGTGCACCTTCGGTGTTTAGTCATGCCGGCCACATGACCACGGAAACGTCTTTGGACAGCACTGGCTTTTCGGCTTTGTAATGGAGATGAGCACCGCCCCCTAGAATTGGAAACGACTAGCATGTATGTGCGAGGGGAACATTTACCTTTACCTTAAAGAATATTTGTAGCTCAGGGTTGAAGTAAGGGGTCCCTTGATGCTCTCTGAGCTTGGTTATTTTCTTGCAGATATTCCACAAACCAAACTAGGTAACTGCCAAACAAGTTAACAGAAACCAGCCCAACCAAAGAACCTCCAAGATTACTCCCACCAAGACTGAAGATGAAACCAGTAGAATATAAACTGAGAGCAAAGCCCACTCCTTTCTAGCCTTGATGATGTTACCTAGTTTGGACAATGAAACATCTGAAAGTAAACATCCAAGCTCAGAGGGCACCAAGGACCCCACAATCCTCTTCCTCTTCTTCCCCTCTCCTCCTCCTCCTCCTCCTCCTCCACAATCCCCTTTCCCTTCTAGCACTGATGATTTACCTAATTTGGGTGCTGAAACGTCTGCAAGTAAACAACCAAGGACACCAAGGAAAATTGAGTATATCAACTGTCTTCCTGTAAGAAAGATAACACATCTGGCTGATCCCTGATCACCTCTCTATTTCCTACTGGGGAAATTGTCTTAATGGAGAATGCCAGAAAAAAAAAAAAAGAGGTTTCCGGCAAAAGAGGGACCTGCAAGGGCCTGATGTATTTTCAAGGTGGATATCTTTATGCTCTACCAGGTTCCAAGATCTGAATTGCTGCTTCCCTAAAAGACTTGTTTAACCTACATATTGCAAAATGTTTTTTTTTTCTCCCTCTCTCTCTTTCCCCCCTGTTTTCCAGCTGAACGGCTTACTGATCAACCTGCCCTACAATGTTGATTATAACAAAATTTCCCTCTACCGCCTGGGATGGGATATCGTGATCATGACTGATTTTGGTTTAATGGTCACCTTTGACATGAAGAACAATATTCGTGTCACAGTATCTGGAAGCTACAGGGGACGGACCTGCGGTCTCTGTGGCAATTTCAATGGGAAAGTAGAAGATGACGTGATGCAACAAAGTGGAATGCCAACAACGAATCCAGGAGAATTGGGCAGAAGCTGGAAGATCTGGGATATCCCAGGGTGCCTTGAGAAGGAACAAGAGTCTTGTGTGGACATGGTGCATTTGGAGTACATGCAGAGAACGAGTAAGGAGTGTGGGCTCCTACTAGATGTCCACGGCCCTTTCAAGAGCTGCCATAGCAAGGTGCCACCTGAGTCATACTTCAAAAACTGTGTCTTCGATTACTGTTCCAGTAAGGGCAACAAGAATATCATCTGTCACATTATCTCCTCTTACGCTGCAGCTTGCCAAACATTAGGGATCCAGATTTCCAAGTGGAGGTCCTTCCACTTTTGCAGTAAGTGAGCACGGGCTTTCGACAGGTGGTTCCCGACTTACGGGCACAGTTGCAACCCAAATTTCCATGGCTAAGCAATGGCGGTTTTTAAGTGGGAGTCATGCCTGATTTCACAACCTTTCTGCCATGGTTATTGAGCGAATCGCTGCAATGTTACGTGAATCACATGGTCATTAAGTGAATCCAGCTTCCCCCCCCCTCCTTTGACTTAGGCTGGGGAGGTTGCAAATGGCGAACAAATGACGCCGGGACCAGGGGTGGGTTTCAAAAATTTTAGCAAAGAGTTCTCTGCCCGGTTATTGGGTTGACGTGGCCATGGTGGGCGTGGTCTAATCAGCCTCCTGCACCATGGTGGGAGTGGCGTTTTTGCCTTCCCCGGACTCCGGAGGCTTTTCTCGAGCCTCTGGGAGGGCGAAAACTGCCTCCCCGGACTCCGGAGGCTCTCTGGAAGCTGGAAACAGGCCCATTTCTGGCCTTCCTGAACTTCTGGGAGCCCCGTTTTTCGCCCTCCCCAAACCTCCATGCACGCCCTGCACTTACCTGCATCCAAAATGGGCCACGTGGGGACTCCTCGGAGGGGAGGGGAGGAATGGGCGGGGCCAGCCAGGAGTGGGATTTGGAGGTTCTCCAAACTGCACAGAATCTTAGCTAGGGGCCCTCCCGAACCCTTGTAAGCCCCTAACAGCCCATCCCTGCCTGGGACCCCACAACTCTTGTTAATACACGCTGGTTGCCAAGCGCCCAATTTTTCATTACGGGGATGCCGCCAATGGTCATAAGTGAGAGGGCTGATTGTAAGTCACTTTTCCCAGTGCTATTGTAATTTGGAATGGTCACTAAATGGATGGTTGTAAGTTGAGGTTGTAAGTTGCCTGTATAAGGTTCATAGTTTGTGCAAATCTATACCCACCCATTTCTGTAACCGTTTGACAAAAATGTTTTTGTGCAAACAAAACAGTTTTATACAAATTTGGCCAATCTATAGGTTGGGGTCAAAAAAAAATATCACTCTGCATCAAGATCTAGATTAGTTTTATATATTTCCTTAATGTCCACGATTTTATGTACTGGAGAACAGCATCACACGAGGTAAGGAAAGGATATATGCTTCAGTCTTATGGAAACAGATCAGAAAAACACATTAGGTCAGTTCCTACTGAAATTTGTGATGAATGAATTATATTCACATCCATAGCAGACTATTTCTGGATAAGAAGCTTGTAGAAATTTCCCACCAAGAAATGATGAGCAAAGCAACAAGCAAGCCGCTTCTTTTTCTGAGTGAAAAAAGATATGAATTATTCATTTTAATGAGAAAGTGGCTAGGGAAATAACATTCTTGCTCACCTTGTCTAGAAGCTGGGTCAGCCCAAAAAACCACTGTGCTTAATCATTATGAAAAACAGAACGTTAAACCAGATCAAGGTACAGTCATCCATATATTCCTAACTACAGTTCCTAGCAGCCTCCGCTTTGCTTTCATATCCAATGGCAAAGACTTGGGGGAATAGCAATTCTAGATGGGCAATCCTTGGGTTGGCTTTTAGCAATAGCACTTAGACTTATATACCGCTTTATAGTGCTTTACAGTCCTCTCTAAGCGGTTTACAGAGTCAGCCTATCGCCCCCAACAATCTGGGTCCTCATTTTACCCACCTCGGAAGGATGGAAGGCTGGGTCAACCTTGAGCCTGGTGGGATTTGAACTGCCAAATTGTAGGCAGCTGGCAGTCAGGAGAAGTAGCCTGCAGTACTGCACTTTAACCACCGCGCCACCGAGGCTCCTTTTGTTCTAATAAGCAGGTCTATTTTCATATCTTTGTTCCTAGCTTCAGATCAGAAGGGATATTTTGATGATCTTCCTGGTCATCCAGCTAAAAACAGACTGGCTTAATATGTTACCGTCAGATGTCCTTGATTTTAACTTTCCTAAATCAGATATTGAAAAGGGCATCTTCACATCTAGAAGGTACCTGGAAAGCAATGTATTGAAAGCATGTCTAAGTGTTTTGCAACGTTTCCAGATGTGGTATTCAGCAGGTTCTGACCAGTTCTGGAGAACCGGTAGCGGAAATTTTGAATGATTTGGAGAACCGGCAAATATCACCTCTGACTGGCCCCACCCCCATCTATTCTCTGCCTCACTGATTGGCTGGGTCTTCTTTGGTTGCCCTGCACAGGAGAATGGAACTGAAAAGCAGGTTGGGGAGGGAATGGAGATTTTACAGTATCCTTCCCCTGCCACACCCACCACGCTACGCCCACGGAACTGGTAGTAAAAAAATTTTGAATCCCACCACTGAACCTTATGATATGTGGACTTCAACTCCCATGGCTGGCTGGGGGATTCTGGGAGTTGACGTCCACACATCTGAAAGTTGTCAAGGTTGAAAAACAATGGTTTTAAGAAGACAGAAATTAACATATCTTCTTCCTTTGATGATCAAACAAGTAAGAGATTAAGAAAACTGAACCTATAGCTCCAATAAACAACCTGGGAATCTTTCAATAATCTAAACTACCAATCCTCAATCTTTCTTCATCAGCTATACCATACGCAACTTATTTCAGTTGTGAAGCCAAATCTTTGGGGGAGGGAGGGGGGGCAATAGTTTCCAATCAAGATTCAAAGGGAGATTAGGTATATGATGTAAATTAGTTTGATGTAAGAATAGAATATTAAAGTAAGAGTAATGAATATGTATAAACTATAATGGTTATTGCACAAGATACGTATACTCAGATGGCACACTGTTCAAATGAAAGTTGGAATGTTTGTATAAATAAAATAAAATAAAATAAAAAAAGATTCAAAGGGAGATTTAAGAAAATGTGATACAACAAGACTGTCTTCTGCAAAATACATCAATGTCTTCTTGTGTTCCCCAGAACCTGACTGCCCCCCAAATAGCCATTATGAAGTCTGTGCCAGCCATTGCCCGGTGACCTGTCACATCCTCTTTAATCCAGTCCTCTGCACTACCAACTGCCGAGAGGGATGTGAATGCAACCAAGGTTTTGTCCAGAGCAGTGACCAATGTGTCCCCATCTCACAATGTGGCTGTGTCCATCAAGGTCTGTACTACAAGGCGGGCGAGTCTTACTTTGTCAATGGGTTTTGCAAGGAGCGGTGCACTTGCCATGTCGGTGGTATTATGGAGTGCCACCAATCCTCCTGTGGACCCCACGAGGAGTGCCGTGTGGTGGAAGGCACCCAGAAGTGCCATTCAGATGCTCCCAAGAAGACCGGGATCTGTCACGTCGCTGGAGACCCTCACTACATCACCTTTGATGGTGCCACCTTTGACCTTCAGAGCAATTGCACTTACACGCTGGCGAGGAGCTGTACACGTCAACATTCCCTTCCGCCTTTCTCAGTCAATGTACAAAATGAAAGGCGGTCCAGGGGCAAAATCTCTGTGACAAAAGTTGTATCTATCACAGCCTACCAAAACACCATTTCTCTCTTGCGGGAAAAGAGAGGCATTATCCTGGTAAGAAGATATAAATTGAAATATTATGAGTAGAGATGGGTGGGTTGCTTTTGGTTGGGAGCTTCAATAGCAGGTAAGTTAAAGTGCCAACTCATTAAAATATTTCTTTGGACGTTTAGAGTTGCCAACAGAAAGGGTAGCAGCTTGCAAAACCGAAAGTGCATTCCATAGATGTTTTCATAGATAGTTTCCAGGCGACTGAAGTTTCTGCCATGCAAAATTCTAACTGGAGAGTATGATTGATGACTCTTGGCTATGGATGAGTCCCACTGGAGAATATGAATTATGATCCACCCAGGGGGTGGGGGGAAACCAGAATCAAGGGTGACAATGAATGATGTGCTTCAGAGTCGGCTACACCCAGGCAGCACTGGCATGTCTTCTTTGAGCTTTGAAAATCCGGCTAGAGACTCATGATTTAAATGGAGGTAACTACCGGAGCCCTGACATAAAGAAGCAAATGGTTGTATTAGCTACAAGGCAATGAAAATATTGAGGATGTACATGTTGAGATGTCCATATGAATATAATAGAATGTGTGTTAGATAGAATATAATAGAATGATTCTAGCTATACCAGACAGTAAAAGCTTAGAGGGAAGGTAGGGCATGTTATGGGTCCCATCGATTAGGGATGTACACCTGAGGGATCATGAAAAAGGCCCTTCTCAGTGCTGCCCTCTTCTCTATGGAATATCATTCCCGCCCCAAGATATGGGTGGTCCCTACCCTGTTCCTTTTCCAAAAGGCCCTAAAAATGTGGTTTTCTCAGTGGGCCTGTGGACCATGAATGGAGATAAAACTGATCAGGAGGTTATTTGATTGTAATGCTGCTACCATGTGTGTGGTTGGGTATGTGTGTGTGGAGAAGGTAATGTTGTTGTTTTTTAATCTGGTGGATGTTTAAGTGTTGTAACCCTCCCAGAGTCACCTATGTGTGAGTTGGGCAGCTGTATAAATCTGTATAATAAATGGACAAAAGTGACATGTTCTTTTAGACCAGGGGTCCCCAAATTTGGCAAATTTAAGACTTGTGGACTTCAACTCCCAGAATTCTCCAGCCAGCATAGCTGGCTGGAGAATTCTGGGAGTTGAAGTCCACAGGTCTTAAAGTTGCCAAGTTTGGAGACCTCTGTTTTAGACAAATCAGGAGTAACTGATCTTTCTTCTTCCAATTGTCTTCTTGCTTCGATCTCATTCCTTACCAACGCTACAGGTGAATGGTGCCATGACCTACTTACCTTTCCGCCTTGAAAGTGACAGTATGTGGGTCTTCTATCACGGAGACAACATTGTGGTTCGGACAGACTTCGGCCTGTTTGTGTCTTTCGATCAACTCTACCACCTGATTGTCCAGGTGCCAGAAGCTTACCAGAGCCAGATGTGTGGTTTATGTGGCAATTATAATGGGCATCCCCTCGATGACATCTCTCTGCCCACCGGCCAGCCAGCCCTTAGCGTGCAAACCTTTTCGGCTGCTTGGAAAGTAGCTGCTCCATCTGCCACCTGCACCGAAGATTGTGCCTCCGTAGTGTGTGGTGCATGTCAAGAAAGCCGGAAGGCCAGCTACGTACACAGCACCCAGTGTAGCATTTTGCAGTCCCCCTTTGGACCTTTCAGTGCTTGCTATTCTACCATCAACCCTACAGACTTCTACAACAATTGCGTGCATGACCTTTGCAAGGCAAGGGGGAACCCAGTTATTCTCTGCCGAGCTGTCCATAGCTATGTTGCGGCTTGTCAAGCAGCTGGCATCCAGATCAAACCCTGGAGGACAGCAAACTTCTGTCGTAAGTCTTCTCCCAGGAAGACAAAGAGTGGGAGCATCTTCTGAGGCAGAGTAGGGAGAATGTGTTCTGACCAAGGCTTCCGAGACCATAATTAAGCACACGCTCAGTTAAAATAATTCCTGTTTTATTTCAACGCTGGGAATTATGTTCATTCCCAGCCGGTAATGAGTCTCAAACAGTCCCTCGAGATAAGCACCCACCTTTCTTTCCTGTGAAGTGCTGCCAACAACAGAAGTGCCAAATGAACTATAAAAAAAAACCAACTGAAGTACAAAGTCCACACAGAGCTTCAAGGTTTAGTCCAAGCAGAGTGAACATCTTTGCTTCCTGCAAAGGTTTCTCAACCTTTGCACTTCCTTTATACCTTTATGGGAGGAGCAATCACCTCCAAGCTTTACTCCCGAGTCACCCCTTTTGTCTTAGCTGCTCTCGCCATCTAGCAGCTATGCGCACACGAGCACTGGGAACAGGCTCCCCTTGTTCCTCTGCCTTGCTGCTGCCAGACTCCGGAGGCTCCAGAGGCATCCCCCCACTCCCAGATGGTCTTGGCCCCATTTCTTTATCAGATGAAGGACCCTCATCCGAGTCCTCCCCAGACTCCTGGACTGATCCCTGTTCTTCCCCACTGTCCAATTCTGCTGCCATCTGCACAGGCTACCGGTGAACCACAACAGAATGGGAGGTTTGCAGTAGTGGCAAATATCTGTAGCTCAGGTGTAGGATGAGAGTGAAGGCTCATTCTCTGAACTTGTGGGTTGGTTTCTGAACGTTTCATTACCAAACTAGGTAACGTCTTCAGCGGAGTTTGGGGAATGTCAGTATCCATGTTCTTCTGTTTATAAGGGCTTCAGCTGTGGGTGTGTCAAGTGAGGGTCTTGTGATCAGTCAGGTGTGAGTCATCAGTGAGACTCTTGTGATGGGTCTCATAATAAGGAGATTACAGGGCATAAGTTAGGCAAAGCCATACCAGGCACATCGATTGTCCATTTCGGAGTCGGAAGATGTTTCTTTGATAGCAATTCAGCTTTAGGTGTCCATGTTTCTTCCCCCAATCACCCAACATCTGTCCTCCCTTTATTGTTGTTATTATTGTTGGTTGTACTCAGCCAGATGTTTAGACTGGACTTGGCTTTTTTTTTTCCATCCAGTTATCCAATGCTTCCCCAGGAGTTGAGATAGGCAGATGTCACCTGATGGTATTAAAGAGTATTTTTCAATCACCCATTTGAGAAGCCCTGATTTTAAACATATGAGTTGACCTCATTCTAGCATCCACAAGAGAAGAACTCACTCTGGCAGTAATGTTTTTCTCCTTGCAGGAGGAAATCCGTTGCACATTATTTGAAGAAAAGCTGTAGCTCGAATGGGGAAAAGTACATGGCTTTGCCTGCAGGAGATTATTAGTTCAAGCCCAAGCAATGTCAGATGAGGTTTCATTTTGGCTATCAAGCTAGTCAGTATGGAACTTGAGCAATCTCGGTTCGAAAATACAGCTTCTCAGATTGCTCTGTGGCCTATAGTACATTCCCTATTCAAGTAAACTAGTCCTGTTTCTTTCTTGCAGCTATGAAATGCCCAATCAACAGCCAGTATGAACTCTGCACCCGGGCTTGTCCCGTCAAATGCAAAGAGGCAACTGTCATCACGAAGTGCCCCAACCACTGTGCTGAAGGCTGCCAGTGCAAAAACGGCTTCTTTATGGCTGGGTACCACTGTGCCCCCATCAGTCAATGTCGCTGCTTCCACAAAGGCAGGTGGTTTAAGGCAAGTGAAAGCAGAAATTATTTCGATTGCAAAGTTTAGTTTTATTTATTTAGCTTTTCTTTCCCTTTTCTTTTTCAGAGGGGTGGTCCAGGTAGCTCTCGAATTACGAACACTTTCTTGACTGAAGTTACAACCAATCCCCTAGAGATCCTTAGGATCCAGTTCCAAAGTTCCAATGCTCCCCATGTGGCTGCATTTTGGACACTTTTGGACACCCAGCCCGCATTTGCAGCATCCGACAATCCCGTGGCCATGTTTTTATCATTTTTGTGTGTGTGCTGAAAACAGGTTTTGGGGAAAACAGGCCCAGAGTTAACAATAATGACTGCTGGAACAAAAAAGTCATAAAATTGGGTCTGTCACATGGGTGACACTACTTTACAATTGTCAACTGACTTACAACTGTAATGAGCAGGCTCCATTATAGCAGTAGCACTTAACCTGATATGCAACTTCACAGTACTTTACAGCCCTCTCTAAGCAGTTTACAGAGACAGCATATTGCCCACAACAATCCGAGTCCTCATTTTATCAAGCAACTATGGAAGGCCAAGTCAATCTTGAGCTGGTCAGGATAGAACTCCAGACAGTGGGCAGACTTAGTCTGTAATACTGCACTCTAACCACTATGCCACCACAGCTCCTGATGGCTAGGTTAGAATAAGAGGATAGGAAGGTGCAGCTAAATGATTTTTTCCCTCATTTTGCATGAACAGGATGTAATGAGTAGTGGAGGGAGACTCCTGGGTGACTAGACAATGGTTAGTGGGGGGTAAAAAAACTGGCTCCCTTGTCTCCTGATCCCTTGAATCTGGTTCTGCCTAACATTATTGCAGCCATTTCCAGCTAGGCAAAGCCCCCATTTTGTGAGAATGGTGTAGCATGTGCTGAAAATCCCCAAAGTGCCCACTTAATGTTATTTATTCATTCAATGTCTATAGCTGCCAACTAAATGAGCCTGGGTGACTTAATCTCAGAAGGATGGAAGGCTGAGTTAACCTTGAGCTGGTCAGGATAGAACTCCTGGCCGTGGAATGCAGAGTGAGCCTGCAATACTGTGTTCTAACCACTGTGCCACCGGGGCTCTTAATTATGGTTTGTTAAGTCAAGGACTACCTGTAGCATAACTTTCTGTCTTCTCCCAGTTTTCCTCATAAGAGTCTATGAAGTAAGCTGAGCTGAAAGGAAATGACTGATTGACTCAATAAAAGAATCGAGCAGGAGACGTCTAGTTACAACTTGATTTTGGCTTTCTGCCTTTTCCGTTTCAGTGATGCACGTTGAATGCTTCTGCAGAGTTGATGATTTAAGAAGCAGAATAGCATCTGCATAGTAGAAAATGATTCTCCAAAGTAGAAGAACTAGAGTTGTACGAAAGGGGTCATATGGATGGATCGGGGTTGCCAGCAAACAGAAACACGTTGGCATTCTCACTGCTGCACCCCAAAAGAGTAAAATATTAAAGGATAAGGAGGAATGAAACTTGGCTCAATAGCAGTAAATGTGAGAGAGATCTTGGAGTCCTTAAATGTGAGCCAGCAGTGTGTTGCAGCTGCCAAAAAAGCCAGTGCAATCCTAGGCTGCGTTAACAGAGGGATAGAATCAAGTTCACCTGAAGTGTTAGTACTGCTTTATGATACCTAAGATCACACTTGGTATACTACATCAATGTTTGGTCACCACCATATAAAAAAAGATGTTGAGACTCTGGAAAGAGTGCAGAGAAGAGCAACGAAGATGATTAGGGGGAGGCTAAAACATATGAAGAATGGGTGCCAGAATTGGGTATGTCTAGTCCAGTGAAAAGAAGGACTGGAGATCACATAGTAGCAGGGTTACAATATTTGAGAGGTTGCCACAAAGAAGAGGGGGTCATCCTGTTTTCCATTGGAAGGCAAACAAGAAGCAATGGGTGGGACTCAATAATCAAGGAAAGAAACAACCTGGAACTAAGAAGAAATTTTCTGACAGTGAGAACAATTAATGAGTGGACTGAGTTAGCTCCAGAGTTTGTGGGTGCTCCATCACTTGAGGTTTTTAAGAAGAGAATGGACAACCACTGGCTGAAATAGTGTAGAATTTCCTGCTTGAGCAGGGGGCTGGACTAGAAGACCTCTAAGGTCCCTTCCAACTCTCTTAGTCCGTATTCTATTCTGAATGGAAAGAAGAATGAAAATGAAAATGGGAATAATGATGATGCCAAGAGAGACAGTGGGAAATCAGGGATGATCCAGATGAATAGAAATTAAGGACTCCATGTATCAATTCCAATTGAAGTGAAGGGTTGATAATTAGATATCAGACGGTCTTGCAAATATGCAATTATGCCACAGTAATTGTGATCATCATCTTGTTAATGTAAGATATAAATACACCCTGCCATGGATGTTGGTCATTTCTTAGCTGTCACCCCGAAACCTGCTGTACTTTTTTCCTAAGTAAATATTTTATTAATCATATTTCCACTCATTACAGCATTCAGGTATCGGTATTCACTCATATTGACATAGTTTCTAATTATATAGGTTACTATTCTATTTATTGTATAATTATTTCTACATTTAACTTGTAACAGTATTTGCAGATGTATATACCGTATTTCCCCATTTTACTATAGCTCATGTAACAACTTTACGTCTGTTTCTAGCCACTTATACCATATATTCCAGATCTTACAGTATTCCGTTTCTTCTCTGTCTTTTAATTCCATAGTTAATCTATCCATCTCTGCATGTTTTTATTGCAGCCTGGAACTCCAACGATCACATCCAATTGCATGGAGCGATGTACTTGTGAACATCAAGGTCATCTGACATGCACTCCATTCCCGTGTGCAGCTGGAGAAACTTGCGCACTGCAAGATAACAAGTGGGTCTGTGTCCGGAAGGAGGGACACTGCACTATTGCCCATGAACACATCTTCACCTCTTTTGATGGAGTATCTGGAAAGCTTCCAAGTGAAGGATCCTTTGAGATCACAGCCCTTGTCAATGCGAAGTCAAAATCCTGGTTCCGAGTGGTGGTGCAGGTGAAGAAATGTCCCCAGTGTGCAACACCCAGTGTGGTCTCTGTCACTGTCTACTTCCACAAACTGATTGTGCTGGTGAATAAGGATAGCTCAGTCTTGGTAAGAAACCACTACTGGCAGATGATAGCGCTCATGTTTTATTCACCTACCGTACTCTACTTATAGTCCTATCTATCTCTTTCTTTCTTCCTTCTTCTCCTTCTACATACAAAATGTACGGGATTGCTAATCACCTAATTGCCTTTCCTTCTCCCTTTCCTTTTCACCTAGTTGTCTCTGTCTGACCCAGACTGCCACAGCTAATGAACAAATCAATGAGGTGTAAATTTTATAATGAAAGGTGCCCGTAGCAACTGAGATCCAGCTGCCGTGAAGTTATAGTCTACATACTCTTACAAAGACTAGGATGTAAGACAGAGATCAAATGAATGAAGGCAAAGCTACATGTCCCAGGATAATATTGCAGGGTCCGATCTGGGTCAGTCACTGGGACCAGAGGTATAATCTCCTGAGCTTTTGGACTTATTCTGGAGCCCATCTTCAAGGAATTTCTCTCTAGCAGAGTATGCACTTTCGGCTATTCTGGGTGTGGTATTTATATGGTGCCTGTTGTGTGTGGCCTTTTTAGGTGTTGATTGGGGGTATTGATGGCTTGCTATTAAGTTGTTGGCTGTTGTTTCCTGGTGCTGTTAAGGCCCCACCTCCTAAGATGGCACTTGAGTAATGAGGGGCCCATTTCCCAGGCATCAACCACTTCCGCGACTGTTTTTATACCTGCTCAGCCAACAATCTTAGTAGCCACAAGATTGAATGTATACATCACATATTTAAATGTCTAGGAGTTAGCATGGCAATTTAAGATGGAAGAACTTGGTGCAGGTTGATAAACCAAGGGGATGAAGCTGGT